ACTTTTCATTGGACTAGGAATCCCTCCTCAGGTACCTTGTTTTTTTTCATGATTCTCTCTTGGTTAAAATCTTGTATATGTTTATTTGATTGAAGAATTTTGTGTGAAGGTGTCAAGTGCTACATCCACTTTTGCAATGACATTTTCTGCTTCGATGTCTGTGGTGGAATATTACCTTCTCAAACGTTTTCCTATTCCCTATGGTAAGTGTCTATGGTTTAATTGATCAGTGGAATTAAATGCATTTGAGAAGACTAGAATAAACTTGTGCCCCTACAATCACATGTCCATGACCAACTAACAAATAAACTGGCTTAGCATTTGATTATTCTTGCAGCTCTTTACTTTGTGGCTGTAGCCACTGTTGCTGCACTTGTTGGGCAGCATTTGGTGAGGAAGCTAATTGGCTTATTAGGGAGAGCTTCAATCATCATTTTCATCCTTGCCCTCACAGTTTTTGTGAGTGGAATATCACTAGGCAAGTGTTATTAACTTGTTTAATTTGCTTTGAAAAAATTAAGGCTCATCTTAATTTGATTTGTAATTTATTAAGATGAAGATACAATTTAAATTGAACCAAATATGATAATCGTTTACGATTTATATTGAGCTTAACCTTTTTGTCCCCTTCAAATAATAGGTGGAACAGGAATAGCAAATCTGATTAAAAGGCTTGAAAACAAAGAATATATGGGATTTGGAAACCTATGTGAGTACAGGGTTAGGAATTAAAGTTCATTGTTGTAAAACTTACATGGTTTAAAAGCTATGCGTTAGACTTGGGTTTGATGATGTAAAATATATTTCTTTTTAATTGAAAAACAAACATGTATTACGTTATATCATTTCTCGCAAATTAAACCGTGTGGTGAACTGTGAAATTCTATTCGAGTAAAAGTAATTGGTGTTTTCTTTTGGTAGAGAATTGCTTTTGAGATTTCAATTGAGTAGAAGTAATTTGTGTTTGCTTTTGGTAGAAAATTGCTGTTAGAGATTGATTCTATGTTATTAGAAGTAATTAGTAATTGGTATGCTTTTGGTTTCTCAAATTTAGTATTGTAAGAAGACATATTTGTATAAAAGGGAAGCTAGTATGAAATGTTTTTAAGAATCGATTCTTTTAAAAACCAAACATTTAAAAACCAAACAGAAACCAAACATTTAAAAACAGAATTAGGATACTATCAAATTGGCTCAGATACAAAAATTTAACCAGACCAAACTGTTTCAAAAGAATATTTAACAAACTAAATTTTAAAACCCTCAAATTCAATTGTTATGAAATTACAATGCCCAAACAGAAAATAAGCATGTGGCACTAGGTTAAAGATCATCGACAAAAGAATCAAACCATCAAACGCTGCTCTAATTTGAGATAAAGTGGCCAAATTTTCATTGAAAAACAGATTCTTCCCTACAGAAATAAAAGCTCTTTCAAAAGGCATGAGCGCAGTTTTGAATAAAGTCATTTAGATAAGCCAAACACGAAACCAAATACACTAACTAACCATTCAGAACCATCAAACGCTGCTCTAATTTGAGATAAAATGGCCAACTTTTCATTGAAAAACAGATTCTTCCCTACAGAAATAAAAGCTCTTTCAAAAGGCATGAGCGCAGTTTTGAATAAAGTCATTTAGATAAGCCAAACACGAAACCAAATACACTAACTAACCATTCAGAACCATCAAACGCTGCTCTAATTTGAGATAAAATGGCCAAATTTTCATTGAAAAACAGATTCTTCCCTACAGAAATAAAAGCTCTTTCAAAAGGCATGAGCGCAGTTTTGAATAAAGTCATTTAGATAAGCCAAACACGAAACCAAATACACTAACTAACCATTCAGAACCTCATCAACATACTAAATAACACAAAATCATAATACAAAATCATAATTCAAAACAGAGAATAATCTGATTTATATTTAATCAACTAAGCAAGATAATAAAAGTCTGAGAATGAAGCTATTGAATCCAAAACATTCAAAACTTGAAGAAAAGCAAGAAATCAAAATACTTAGAAATTCCAATCATGCTTCAGCCTTCTGGTAAACATAGGTAAGCCCGCACTTACCACAATAATGCCGATCGAAATGATTCGCCATGAAAGTCCCGGCACCACACTCAGCATTAGGACACTCCTTCCTCAGCCTCTGCACCTTTCCAGAATCATCCACCTTGTAAAACTGGAGAACCGCAAGCTTCACCTTCCTGTGCTTATGCTTGATCTTCTTCGGCTTGGTATAGGTCTTCTTCTTACGCTTCTTCGCGCCACCACGGAGACGGAGGACGAGGTGGAGAGTTGACTCCTTCTGGATGTTGTAGTCGGCGAGAGTGCGGCCGTCTTCCAACTGCTTCCCGGCGAAGATGAGACGCTGCTGATCTGGAGGAATCCCCTCCTTGTCTTGGATCTTGGTCTTGACGTTGTCGATGGTGTCGGAAGACTCAACCTCGAGGGTTATCGTCTTCCCCGTTAGGGTTTTCACGAAGATCTGCATCTTGGTGGAAACTGTGAAGCTCTCTCAACAAAGGTTTGGGAATGAGGCGATTAGGTTTAAGGGGAATTTATTTTCTAGCTCAATTAGGGTTTCGGCTGTTGGGCTTTGTGGTTCTTGTTCGGGCTTGGGCCTATCTAAGATGTGTTTTCTCTAAAATACTTTGATTTTCATAGTGCTGATACAATCAAAGCAAAGTGTATAGTCCACACCTTTCAAGGATTATATATGAAGTTTGATGTTATTGATAATGACAATATTTTGTTTGTGGATTCAAGTATAATTCCTCTACCGACACTTTCAATCCTAACAAATATTTTTCTACTATATTATTAAAGTTTATGTTATGATAAATTTAAATTGATAGTGAATTTTAAAAAAATATTATAAGGTTAAATGGATTTTTGTCCTTTCTTAATTTTGTTTTACAGTTTAATTTCTTTCTATTTTTTTGTAGAGACATCTGTTTTTAATATCAAATCACTACTTAATTAATTGTTTTTTTAAATCTTCCATTAATTTAATGCAATCAATAAAATTAAAAGTAAATAATAGTAATAAATAATATTTTAAATATTATATATTATACTTATTATTATTTTTATTATTTTTATTATTTTAAAGACCGTTAATATAAACATTAATAGAATATAATCGAACATAAGAAGTTGAAGGATGAAACATAGATCTATAAATTAGTGATTATTTTTTATAACAAATTAATATAACAATTTGAAAGTTTTATATTTAAAAATGAAATGATGTGGATGATAAAAATATTGGTCTTTAATCTGGCTAAATAATATAGCCACTGATTTTTTTTATAGGAATGGAATTTGAAGTTTATATAATAATAATAATAATAATAATAATAATAATAATAATAATAATAATAATAATAATAATAATTAAAAGATTATTTTTATAGCATTCTTTATTTTCTGCATTTAGATGAAAATATACTAAGTTAAAGGAAGTTTTTGTAATTAATTAATTGGTAATACATATACATATTCAATGTATTAAATAACTAATTTCTACGAATAGCCAAAACAAAAAATTATTCACATTACAAAGTTAAAATCAAAATCTTTTTTAAAAGATAAAGGATATGCGATTAAAAATGAATTCAATTCAATATTATAAAGGAGCAAAGAACCATAATAGATAAAAATTAAATATTTTGTTAAAAAATAATTTGAATTTAATATAAATAAATGAAACATTTTTTGTTATAATCAAAGTAGATATGTTTATGCAAGATAAAAATTATAATTAAAAATAATTTAATAATTAGTTTTATTGAATAATGATTTTTAATAAAATTTCATAGTAATTAACAAATAAATAAATATTTATGCTAGATAACAAATCATTTTTTTTACAGGTGGTAAAATATGTATTTTTGTTCGAACTTTAGTGTGGGGCGGTAATTTAGACTCTCACTCTCTAACGTGATAGTTCCGATCCATCCTGTTTTCTTCGCGGATTTTTGTGGGCACGAGCATTAACATAAATTTTTATATTTTTAGGCTTAAAAAATGCAGTGTTCGTGAGTTTTCTCCGCTCCACACTCACTTTTTTTGGGGCGGGCCTAGGTTTTAGGCCCTCATTCTCAATTATATTCATTTTGTCTCATTTTTTTGCAGGCTTTGTAGGGTGGACCTAAACGGGGTGGACAATGCCCGTTTGCCACCCCTATTCACCAGTGAGAATTATTAAAATGTCATTTCATGATTATATCATGCATTAAGCTCACTTAAATTATACATTCTTGTTTACACCTTAGATTTTAGTTATTCATATATTGAAGGTAGAAGAGGTTGGGAAACACATGGATAGAAAATAGGATAATTATTGGACGCCTTATGGGTTGTTCTTGGGAACCTGAAGGCGAAGACTATTTTCTTGTAAGTCATATGTAATCTTTTGTAACAACTTTCTGAGTATAATAAATTGAAGAACTGCTCTCTTTTCTAAAGTAGATCGTTTGATCGAACTGGATAAACAAACCTTCGTCTTTTTCTCGCCTTATTCAGTTATATTATATGTGTACGGGTTATGATTGATGTTGTAATACGGTGGGAGAACTGACTTGGGTATTTTGCGTTTTATCGCAATTGTTGCGGATAGCAAGAGTCACCACCAACTTTTCTTTTATCCAATAAAGGAAAGGGCGAAAAGAACAAGAAAGACCTTTTGAGAATTTTCTTGAGTTCGGTTATGAAAAGGAAAGGTGTTAGCACCCTTTTAATCCGCAGTTATCTACGGGATCTTAGTTGCTAGCTCACTTTGAAATGTTTTGTAAAATGTGTTTGTGATTTGTTTTAAAAGTATTTTTGAAAAGTGTCTTTGTTTAGGCGAACTTTGTAATGATTCTCGTCTCTATAAGAATGTATACAAAGTGTTGACTTTTGAAAATATTTTATGGAAAGTGTTGGTGTGTTTGAAAGATGTTTTGAAATGTTTGTGAGCAAGCAACTACGGACGTTGTACCTACTCAAAAAGTATTTGTTCTTTTCCTCCTCCTTTAAATAGTGTTATCTTACCATTAGTTAGTAAGAAACCATATCATTGGATGTGAAAGGACAGACTTGGGTCATCGTACAATCGTAGAAGGAAACATTGTAGGATACTTTAACAATTTGTCGTAAGGGTCTAAGATCGTTTACCGAAAGCAACATCAAAGGGTCATCGAGAGACTACGATCTTGTAATCGAGGGTCTTTACTAAAGTATCCCACGTTTTAGGGACATGACTGTTTTTAATCTAAGACAACAAGTGTAGGTTAACCCTAGAGGTGCATGTGTGCAAAGTATATTGTTTTCATTTAATTTTCCTTGAATTAGGGTTGTCTATTGCTTGATTTTATGTCTTGCCATACAATACTATTAAACTAAGGAAAGCGATAAATTACGGAATTTAAATGTTCTAGACTATTACATGGCTTTGGGGATGAGGAGTACAATTGTGTGAATGGGGGAGAAAGCAATAAAACCCTAATTATCTATTACAAAGCTTTGACAGTTACATAATAGAAAAATGCGAGAAAAAATAAATCTACGCTATTACATTTGAGGATGCAAACATATATAATTTTATCTAGGAAAAATAAAAAGATGAAAAATAAAAGGAAAGGGATGTGATTTTATGAATTTATTTAGTACAAGTTGTGACAAAATGATTTTTGTTTGAAACATGTTTTTGTTGTTTTTCAAGAATAAAAAAAACTAAGAAATGTACTATTTTGAATAACATATAAATAATGAAAAAAATATATTTTTTGTGACATTTTTTTATATTCATTAAATAGAGGTGATAAATAAATATTATGCAAAAAATCAACTCAAAAGGAGTTGTTTTGATTGGTTAAATAAATTGTTGAAGATTACTGGCTCAAAAGATTACCACTAGGTCAGATGTGTTTGCTTGTCAATAATATGCTTGCATGTTATTATATGAGAACATTGCTTTCTGAAATCACAAAATCACAAAAAATATATAAAAGGGGGATTCACTATGGTTCGAACCCGCGCCCTTAAGATGAAAGTGACATGAAACTTGCGCTGCTTGTCACTGGGGTGGCTGCTACATCCGATGATAAAACAACAATCATTAAATATAATATGAACTCAATGTTGAAAATTTGAAAATGCAATTTCCTTCTTCTTCTTCCTCTAGCACGTTAGCAGTAAAAGCAACAAATAATTTCCATTTTTCAAAAACTCTAAGTTCCTCATTTCTCAATCAAATTCAAAAATGTAAAAATGAAATTTGCTTAGAATTTCGCAAGGAATCTAATGGTATAATTTTTTGAGCTATAACTCAAAGATTTTCACAAATTTTTATTGGTACCAAATAAAAACCTAAATATCCAAAAAAAACCAGTTTTAAAATTCTCATCCCACAGTTAATTAAAATGAAATTTAAGGATATGGTTAGCTTCATAGACATGATTTCTACATTTTATCTTTTAAAAGTAAGTGCAAATGATGCTTCTATCAAGATTTCAAAGTTGAAAAAACTTACCTCTTAATGCAAAAATTCAATGTCCTCTACACGACTTCCAAAAGCAATATGATGATTGCTTTAGCTTACTGGGACCTTAGTGAGTATGTTGCAACTCTTACTTTGCCTTGAAAGTGTCTGGATTGGTCTACTCAAGTCAAGTTGCAATGGTGGATTTTGAAAATGGTGGACGATTAAAATGATGTTACCGTGAGAAAACAAGGATATTGATAGCTTCTATATGATATATATGAAGTGTTTGAGTGATTTGTTTGGACAATAGTTGCAAAAGTGATGAGTTTCGAAGTTAAGGTTTCAAAAGCTTAAAAAGGGTGATTTTTGGCCAATTCTGACTTGGGAGAGATTGAGGGGGTTTGAGGACTTGTTTTTTTGTGGCCTTGGTTGTAAAATAGTGTCTCTATTTATAGGGAAAGTTTGGAGAAGCTCAAGTTGATCAGAATTCAAAATCACATGTTAAGCTCAACATGTGATTTTTCTGAAAAATCAAGTTTCAATGCCTTGTACCTTTGATCATAGAGTGTTTAAACACTTTAAACATGTTGCTTCTGACTTTGTAGACTGAGTGTGTGTAGAAGAAACAAGTTAGAGGCTCAAGGAGTGGACTTTTGCAAAAAACTTGCTTTTCAAGAATGGAAATGGTATCTTTCTCCCTTAAATGGCAAGATGCATTGGACAATGCTTGAATCAAGTTGACCATAGCTCAAACGTTTGTGTAAATATTTAATTATGGTGAGATTTTCAAGTTAAGAGGCCTGCAAAGCAAGATTATACAACATGACATGAGATTGGATCATGTGTTCTTCATGAAAAATGACCTATAATTCATGTTTGTGATGCTATCTTCTTCTCTTCGAATCTCCTAGCTCAAAAATGATCTCTTCAAGTTATTTAACATTTTGGAAAGCTTGAAATATTTTCTTCAACCTTCATGTTTACCATTTTGTCTAAATCAACTTGGAACTAGGTGAAAATTG